GCCTCCTCTTCGTCGATGGTGACGCCGTGGCTCTTCGGCTTGCTGATGAGCGTCTGCAGGCGGAGGGAGAAGTCCTCCACCGTTTCACCATCCTAGAACTTGAGGTTGGCGTACTCCTACTTCAGAAGCTGGGCCGTCACCTTCTTTGCGCGGTCGGAACCGACGCGCATCGCCGCAATAGCCACCCACGCCTCTTTAGCCGAGCTCTTCACCTCCAACGGCTCCCTGTACTCCGTCGGTACAGCAGCGAGGATAGCCTCCAACGCTGACATGTCATCTTCTTCATTGTCGATGCTCTTGTCAACAGCATTCCAGAGTCGTCGGGCTCTGAGTTTGACCTTCATGGTCACCGACCACTCTCCATAGTTGGTGCGAGTCAGCGTCGGTCAACTGGTGCCGCTGACCTCCCGCACCATGTGAACAACGACCTCCGGTCATGGCTGGGCAGCCACAGCAGTGTCACTGTTGTCGCCCATCTCCGAACCGCCCGTCATCGTCAACGGTTAGTCTGGCGACGGCACTTGTACGACTTCGATACCATTTGTTGGCCCATAGGATCACCGGCTCAGGTGAGTGAACCACTCATCAGTCTTGCCGAGCATCCGCTAGTGTTGTCGAGTACCCACTAGCCGTGCCGACCACGAACAAGCGTTGTCCGTCCCCATGCACTATGGCTAGAGCTTGAAGAAGGGAGAACAGAGCATACACATACAGTACAAGACACCAGCGTTAGCCGAAGCCCTGTCTAAGAGATGGCAAATCTAAACTCTCTTTACTGAGTTGCCGTGGTAGTCTATTTATACAACTATATCCATCTAATCCTAATACAGCGCACATGCTGCAACAATAACTAGATAACACAGTAGGGCTAACTCTGCGCCGGCCTCTGCATGTGGCTACAGTGCTGCAGGTGAGCCGTGCGGCGTCTGCACCTGCAGCGGCTACAGTATCACAGCAGGGGCCTTTTCGGCGCCGCTTTCCCTTGCTGTTTTCACACAAGGAAAGCAGTAGTTTATTTCATCAATATGCATCCGACAGGAAGAAAAGAAGTAGAGTGAAAAGGATAGTGTTGGATGATGGGCGTGTAGTGGAGGATGAGATGGAGATTGTGGGGCGGTGACTAATTTTTATAGTGATCTTTTCTCTTCCCACGCAGGTAACAACAATGGTGATGATCTGCTACGTTGTGGGAAATAAAGTTACACCGGAAATGAATGATATGTTGATGCAAGAATTTTCTGATGAGGAGATCAAACAAGGGCTGAAGGCGCCGGGCTGTGACGGTATGCCGTCCCTTTTCTACAAGAATTTTTGGGGTACGGTCGGTGTTGATGTTACTAAAGAAGTGAAGCAGTTTCTGAATGGGGGACAAATGCCAGCGTCGTGGAATGACACTATGGTACTTCTAATTCCCAAGGTTCAGCATCCAGAAAGGTTGAAGGATTTACGACCAATTAGTTTGTGCAACGTGGTGTACAAAATTGCATTGAAGGTACTCTCGAACCGTCTCAAGACTATCCTGCCCTATATTATTTCACAGATTCAGAGTGCTTTTGTCCCTGGGCGCCTAGTTACTGACAATGTCCTCATAGCATATGAGCTGACACATTTTATGCAAACTAAGAGAAGTGGCAGTGAGGGGTATGTAGCTCTAAAGCTTGATATGAGCAAGGCGTATGACCGGGTGAAGTGGGTGTTTGTGGAGAAAATGATGAGGCGTTTGGGTTTCAATGAACAGTGAATTAATCTAATTATGAAATGCATCACCACGGTGAAGTATAGAGCAAAGATCAATGGCGAGATCACGGATCAGATTTGTCCATCAAGGGGTCTCCGTCAGGGTGACCCTATTTCACCGTACTTGTTCTTGTTATGTGCAGAAGGATTCTCGGCCATGTTGAATGCAGCGGAGGAGGAGGGCCGGCTGCAAGGGGTTTCTATATGTGCAACAGCTCCGAGCATAATCCATCTACTATTCGCGGATGATTCTTTGCTTCTCCTTAAAGCTGATGAAAGGAATACAGTTCATCTACGAAACGTGCTACAATTGTATGAGGCATGTTCGGGGCAAATGATTAATAAAGAGAAATCCTCCATTTTGTTTAGCAAGAACACGAAAGTCCAAGAAAGGAGAACTTTTATGGACGTCCTAGAGCTGACGCAAGAGGCTATAAGTGCCAAATATTTGGGTCTGCCGGTGTACATGGGGAGATCAAAAGCCAATTTATTTGCTTATCTTAAAGAGAGAGTGTGGAAGCGGATTCAAGGTTGGAAGGAGAAGCTGCTCTCCAAAGCTGGGAAGGAGAGCTATTGCCCAAGCTATTCCATCTTATGCAATGTCCTGTTTTGACCTCACTAAATCTTTATGTGATGAAATCAGCAGCATGATCTGTAGATTTTGGTGGGCACAACAGGACAAGGAGAGAAAGATGCATTGGATTTCATGGGATGTTATGAGTAAAAGGAAGGAGAAGGGGGGTCTTGGCTTTCGGGATCTACATTTGTTCAATTTAGCAATGTTGGCAAGGCAAGGTTGGCGGCTTGTGCAAAATCCCGACTCACTTTGTGCTCAAGTGCTAATGGCGAAGTATGGCTCCAGTGGTTCGCTCCTAAATTCACAGGAAGGACCGGGCATATCTTACACATGGCGTAGCATCATAAGAGGTTTTCAGGCGTTGAAAAAAGGACTAATTTGGAGAGTGGGGGACGGCAGCAATATTAGAATCTGGGGAGATCCTTGGCTCGAAAATGGGGTGCCTAGGAGGCCGGTCACTCCAAGGCGGCACACTATCTTGACAAGGGTTGAGGAACTCCTGGAACCTGAGACGGGATCGTGGGATGTACAACTCGTTAAAGATGTTTTTTGGGAAGAAGATGTGAAGTATATCCTGGCCACGCCCACAAATCCCGGGCACGAGGATTATTTAGCCTGGCACTTTGATCGGCGAGGTGTTTTTTCAGTAAAGTCAGCATATCATGTGTTAGATGACGAAAAGGAACGTGTGTGCAGCAAGGGGGGCAGTGCAGTCATGCTGGTGGCACTGATCGGCGAGGGATGATATGGAAGAAGCTGTGGAAGCTACCCTGCCTACCCAAAATGAAGCAGTTTATGTGGAGATTAGCACGAAACAGTCTGCCTCTGAGAATGAACATTCAGCGGCGAGGGATGACGCTGGACACCAGATGTCCGGTTTGTATGAGGCTAGATGAGGATGGCGGCCACTGCTTCCTCAAGTGTAAGTTTGTAAAACACGGTTGGCTTGACTTACAGCTGGAACCGGTCCGTCAGAAGCTTCTCCCAAAGGCGTCGGCATGGGAGGTGATACAAGAAATCCTGAACCTGAAGAAAGATGAATGCTTAAAGACTGTCATTCTGCTGTGGCGATGGTGGGACGTTCGAAACAAGCTAAACAAGGGAGAAAGGGGCTTATCACGAGATGGGTTTATGGCTGATGTCCTACGTCTGATGGGTGAACTTGGGCACAAGGAAAAGCAGATGTTGGAGAGGCCAGCCAATGTGCAGCAGAAATGAGCACCTCCACCACCAGGTTTGCTGAAGATCAACTCAGACGGAGCTTTTGTTAGCGATACCCTGACAGGCAGATGGGGATTCATCATCAGGGATCACAGCGGTGAAGCTGTTGTTGCTGGGGCAGGGCACTTAGCTGCTGTGCAGGATGTGATTACAGCGGAGTCGTTGGCGTGCTCACAGGCACTTCTCTCAGCGACTGAATATGGTATCTCACGGGTACAAATTGAAGTTGACTCTTCTGTGCTGAAGCAAGCAATTTCATCCTCATCTATGGATCTTGCAGCTTGTGGTATGCTGATTGGAGATATACGTGAGCTACTGCAGGATCAATTTGTGTGCGAGGGTGTCGAGTTAATCCCTAGGTCTTGTAATGCCGCTGCGCATGATCTAGCCAAGCTCGGTTTGAGTTGGGACCCGGGTGAGTCCTGTGTTTGGACGAACCCTCTCCCAGAATTTGTAAAAGACTTAGTGTCTCGCGATGTTGTCGAGTTTTCAAATTGAATAGCAAGGCCGTAGAGCCATATTGCAAGTTCAAAAAAAAACGGTTTAAACCAAAATCGCAAACATTTGCGCGAGGAGGCGATGCACGGCCGGTTCCGGCGAGGCGCGGAACAAACGAATGCGGTTGGTTTGCTGGGCCTGGTCGGGCGGGCGGGTGTCTGCGTGCGTGAAGAGCCCGCTCGGTGTGCCCCGCTTCGGCCTTCCAAGCCTGGTTTCGAGGCCCGTGTTAAGAGCAGTTTTTTGCTTCATTGCTGTTAACAGAAAAATGCAATGAAGCATCACATGGAAATTCGTCTACAGAGAAACATTTCATTGCTGTGCTTGTCACCCTGTTCGCTTGATCGTATCAGCCATGTTTATCAGCCATGATACAGTGTTTTTCTCTCACAACAAAACAGCATCAGCCGGCTTATAGGCCACAAAAACGATCGAGCGAACAGGGTTCAGTGAAAACAAGCACTCCATCTCACTCGGAAGCCTCGGAGTCGGAGTCCAACTCTCGCATGGAGGTTGAAAAGCCCCAAATCCACACTGATCGAACAGTCAGGAACTTGGAACACAATGCAAGCATTTCTGAGATCAAACTGACACCACTCTTTTCTTCTCATTTTCCTTTCTTCACAAACAATGACACCATGGAAATTATACAGCACAACACACTCTAGAGAGGGTAAGACAACTATTACAACTTAGTATATTACTGCACACACGCCAATGGTGAACGAAGAAAACGAAAGAATATTATATGCTGTGTACTGTAACTCTGACGGACCAACCACACCGCAGGCACCCCTGCTACATACCCGGGGGTGCCTGCCTGGCCTGGCCTGGCCTCCGCGAGCCTCTGGTCTGGAGCCTCTCTTCAGAAAAAGCTCATCCAGTCTAATACCCACCTGTACAACGCCCACGGGGTATCGTCTAAATCTTTTTTAGCTACAACAATGTGAGTGGAGCAGCATCATATCAGTCACCGCAAGGAGTTCTTCAGCGACCGAACGGTCATCACGAGCTGCTGCCGCTCGCCTTCCACCTCAGCGAACTTCAGGCTAATCTCCGAGTACCGTTCATGCAGCTCCTTCAGCTCCTCCTCCATCGCCTTGTTCCTCTCCTTCAGTGAGGCCAGCTCCTTTGCTGACTGATCGGCCCAGTTCCTGACATAGATGAGTCGTTGCCAGCAGCAAGAAATGTCAGTCAGATAGTCGTGGTTCATGTGTTTCTGAACTTAAAAAGGGTGTACGGAGTATGTGTCAGCTGAGTTTAAATGATTGATGTACCTCATGTCATGCCCGTTGCAGTCACCGTCTTCACCCTGTCTGTTGGTGCCTGGCAGTGCAGTAATGCTCCCAGTGGAGCCGGTATTGTGTGTGATGCGCTTATTATTAGTATGCTGATTGTCCTGCAAAAACAGCACTTTGGGTAACTTTCTGTGCACCAAAGTGTATTATTACAATCTAGTAAGCAGTTCTATGTAAAGGTCGCTCAATGATGTAAAGCAATATAACATGTTCTCATCAGTGGGGCCCTGTATGCAATAAAGCTATTCCATGAACTATGATGATATGGGAACAGGTGGATAGAACTAAAGAAAATTTTGTCTTCCCATGTGCAAAGAGACAGAAATCATGACATTTTTTCACAGACAGTGCTCATACTTTTGTTGATGCCTTGTTTGACCAATTGCTCATTCTACTGACTTATATGGATAGAAAAAGGAAGTTACAGCTACTGGTTCAGATGCCAGTCCGGAAGCAAAAGTTGCAAGAGTTTATGTTTCCATTTTTAGATGGATTTTGCACAAATAATGTTTTTCAGCATTGCAGTTATTAACATCTACATTATCACAAGACTTTTAGGTTATAGATATGCCAAAAGAGAAGAATAGAAAAGTATCTCAGTACACAAACCAATTAAAAGGAGAACTGTCTGCACTGAACTGGAAACATATTTGCTTTGCAGAATTTACCTTCACATCTGAATTTTGACCATTTGCCTTTGTCCCTTCCCGGGTTTCAAGGGATCTTCTCAGCTTCAGCACCTGAGAAGCAAGGTTGTCTTTCTCAGACTCTTTCTTGGACAGCAAAGTTTTCAAGTTGTCACACTGAAGTTTTAGTGACCCAATATCTATTTGCAGCTTTCCAATTGTCTCCTTCTCGTTCTTCAAACGTTTTAAATTGTGTAGTTCGTCCAAATGCATCTTCACTTGGTCCTTGAGAGATACAAGCTCTTTATTTAGTGAAGTAATCTCAGCACTTTTGTCTTGCAATTGCATGTCCTTTTCACTAATTCCAGCTAATTCCTTATCTTTCTGCTCATTCTTTTCAAAGAGGTCGTTTCTCTCACTGGATAGCTTGTCGATCTTGGCATTGAGTAGGTCGATTTCTTCTGACAGAGCATTCAGCCTTGCTTCATCGCATCTTTTTTGGTTATGGAACTCCTCACTCTTGCTTTTTAGCTCCATCAGTAGCCTATCTATCTCCTTTGACTTGAAATCCACTAGGGTTATTAACTGTTGGACCTTCACCCGGTGCTGATCCTGAACTGATCCAAGATCACCTTGGGCCTTCTGCAGTAACTCTTCTAACTGGCTCTTCTGCAGCTGCAGCTCCGCAACCTCTTTTCTTGCTTGCACAAGGTGTCGTTCATTTGCACTGAATGCAGAAGATACTTGTGAAGACAACACCTTGAATTCCTCCTGAAGTCGTTCTGCAGTAGTTGCATTATTCCATCTTATCTTCCTCAAAGAATCCTCAGCCTTAATGGCCCGTTGCTCTTGTTCCACCTTTGCACTCATTATTTCTGCTATGTCAGCCTCAAACTTTTTAGCCTGTGTCTGGAGTTCATTATCCAAGCTCTCAACATTGGCCTCAAGATCACTTATAATAGCCAAATGAGCTGAACACTCATATTGCATCCTTAGCTGCTCCCTCAGTTGTGTTTGCTCCAGCCTTGTAGATATGTCATGGTTCTCTTGCTTTAGAATCTCATAATCAAGTGCAAGTTGCTCCATTTGCATCTCGATATCCTCACGATCTTTCTTGTACAACTCAATTTCATTGCTCAACTCAAGGATTTTCTTTTCAAGCTCAGAGGTAGAGATGTCATCACGCTTCTTTGCTAGTGCATCCAGCATAAGCTCATCTTCCTTCTCTTGGTATGAACTCGTCTCACATAAGGCTATTTTGTGTCCAGAATTGTGCACATTTGACAGTGCATGCTCATATTCTGCCTCCTGTGGATCATCCCGTGTATCCTCTTGCAAAATGGAAATCTCTCTGTTCTTTTGCTCCAACATCTCATCAAGATCTTTCACAGCCAGAAGCAGCTCAGAGTTGGATTCCTGCATCTTTTGCAGTTGTAGACGAAGATCCGCATTTAGATTCTTCTCGTGACTCAGATCTTGCTTCAGTTCTTCAATCTGTGACCATGGGTCATCCCCATCTGAGAGCCGTTTCCCTGAGCCATTTGAATCATGGATCGTCTTCTTTGCCCCTCTGAGTCCTTCACATTCTCTTCTGAGTGCATCCCTCTCCTCCCTCAGGCTACTCATCTCCTTGGAGAGATCTTGCCCACGCAGACTCTCCTTCACAATTTGCTTTCGGAGAGTCTGCAACTCCATATCCGAGACATCCAATTTCCTGGTTAAAGTGGCTATCTCACTTCTTAGCTTCTCCACGTCATCATCTTCCCCTCTTAACCCTGCCTCGCCAGAATTGCTCGTTGACCCATCCGTACTAGCATCAGGAGCTGAGCTTCCTGACCAGTCACCTGAACTGGTCAATGGGTTCCTCACGGTGCCATTGTTGGCAAATGATGAGAGAGCATTGCTACTATCCTGAAGAAATGAGTTGTGCATGCTTGCGCTAATCTTGGGGGTATATCTCCCAGAACTTCCATCTGAACCAGACACCGAGACGGCATCGAAACTGCTGCCATTGTGGAGATGGCCCACAGGGACAGGGTCAACAGACATAGGCACATTTCTTGTTGATGGAAACCTCATGCCTGGAGGTTTTCTTAACAACAATCCATCCTGTACAAGGGAGATATCAACCATCAGGAGAACACAAGAAAATCAAATCACATCTAGCATGCATTGTTCAGTTCTAAAATGTTCCCATCTACAGTCTACAGGCATGAGAAAATCAGATCTCAAACAAAAATTGACATACAGCTTATTATCATTCAGATATAACTTAGGCTCCCTTTGGCCCTTTTTTATTTTGCAATGCTCTTTGTATGCCAAAAGCCCTCTTTCTTAGCAATCACAAGATGAAACAAAGAAAACCAATGATGATGAATCCAAAAGAGGAAAAGCTCTAAAGAATTCCCCAAAGACCCACTTACTTGCACAGGACTCATTGCATCCGTGGCCGCTCTAGCCTTCTCGCCGTCCTCGTCCTCAAACCGGCTCAGCTGGCTCTGCAGTGTGGTTCTCCTCTGTGGCGTCTTTGCCACCGGCGAGGCGTTGCCGTTCTCGCTGTTGCCACCGGGAGGACAACAATCAGTAACCAAGCAATGCCACAACCAAGCGAATGCTTAAGACCCAAACCACAATTCAGTAGCAATGACTATAAATCTGGTTGAGATGGCTCAATCCCTAAGGCTCAAATAACAACGCAGCGGCGGCAATGGCTAAATCTGGCTGGGGGCGAGACGATCCTTAAAGCTCAAACAAACAACAATGAGGCAGAGATGTGTGCGTAGATTAATCCACCACCCAACGCACCTCGCGTCGTCTCCACACCCACCGGCGCCACCCACCACCCGCTGGATGGTCACCTGTCACAGGAAGCGAAGCACCAGCGAAACATCAGAATCAGATAAACCGCGAGCACGTCGCCGTCGCAGGTCACAAGAAAACGGCACGACCCTTTAAGGGATGCGAGGGAGGGGAGGGGAAGAGAGAGCAGAGATGGTGATGCTCACGTGCAGCAGCGCGCCGGGGCTGCCCTTGAGCGGGAGCGTCACCGCCGACGGCTTCAACGCGTCGGCGTACTCCGCCAGGTTCACCGTGGCCTCCCCCAGCAGCGCCGCCTTGCTCGACCCCTGCACCGACAGCATTGCCCGAGTCAAGATCGATACCGGAATCACCACCGTCGGTTAATCACGAATTAGTTAAGCGGCGGGCGGCGGCGGCTGGTGGCTTACGGTCTCATAGACGAGGAACTGATAGATCTTGTCCTTGCCGGCGGGGACCTTGGTGGCCTCCATGATAGGGGCCGCCCACCGGCACGCGCCGTCGGTGACCTCCGCGGGCTCCGACCGCGCAGTCGGTCGGCCGGCGTCCTGCGGGGTCACCACCACCATCATTGCCTCCCATCCCAGCTCGGGCACCTGCGGCAAGAACCACCCACCCTCCCGTCACGCGTCAATCAACAACAAAATTAAAATCCGAAGCTCTGCTTCAGGGCGACTGAGCCGTGCCTGCGTGGCGTGGAACTGCAGCTTGAACACGGCCTTGGCCTTGCCGCCGCCGCCGCGCCACCGCGACTTGAACATGTCGGCGGCGCCGCGCTAGGTCGCGCTCGCTCCCGGAACAGACGACTCTGCAAGAACGACTTCCGCCCCCCCCTTCCCTCGCCCGCTGCCGCTGGGCCAGCTAGCTACTCCTTCACGGGAGCGTCCACCGGTGGCGGCATTGCAATGCCGCGCGCGGAAGAAGCCACCGGGCCGCGTGACGCCACCAGGGGTTGGCGTCGCGGTGCGATGCGTGGTGGTGAGGAGGTGCTGGTGGTGGTTAGTTGGAGCGCGAAGACCACCACCGCCGCCACATGGTGGCAGAGCAAGCATAGAGCGTGAGGGGGAAGCGCGCGAGTGAGGCGAGGCCACTGCAGCTGCAAGCGAAGCGAGCACCGAGCAGGCAGGCAGGCAGGCTTTGGGCAAAGGCACGCACGCAGGCAGCAACAAGGCCGAGGCAGTGGACACTAGTTGTAGTAGATCTAGTGAGAGAGAGAGAGAGAGAAGGGGGAGAACAGAACAGAGCTCAACTCAACAGAACTTTCTCTCCCTACAGCTCTGCTTTTCCTCCCTCACGCTCTCTCTCTCTCTCTCTCTCTCTCTCTGATTTGGGGGTTTAGGGGGACTAGAGAGAGAGGAAATGTAGTGAGAGAAGGTTGTGATGAGAGGCTATAAAACGGAGGTCAATTGTTTGGGGAAAAGAGAAATCGAATTGATTTCTTGGGTAGGAGTACAGGCGTACAGCTGGGGAGGAGGGCGATTGGGGTCGGGTGGAGAAGTGATGGATTATAAAATCTGACCCTCCGGCTGCTGCAGCGGTTGCTATTGCTATGGATGGACGGAGTATGCCTGCTGCCTGCTGGAGCGTGTAGTAGCTACTGTGCCGCGCCATTGCTTGAGCCTCACAACTGCAGCGACCAGGCTGCATGTGGGCCTGGGGATGGCAGTTGCTCCTCTGCCGCTGGATGCTGGATATTCCTGTTTATTTTATTATTATTTTGGGTTCTGCGTCACTGCATGTTGGATACAGAAACCATCTCCGGTGGGGATCATGAGTAGAGCAGAACCCACGACCGGCCGCTGCACCACCTGCAGCATTTGCCACTCGAGCTACTGCTCGATCCCCGATACAGTACTTGGATTTGGATCCATGGAGATGGGATGGAGGCTGGAGTGGACCGTGACACGGGATGCGAGGAACTTACTTCAGACCAAAGTTACTCGTTAGTCGTTACTGATGTTCTACCGTTGGACAATGGCCCATTTGGATTTTGGTTGTATGCGGAGGTTTTCTAGCGGCTAGCTAGTGAGAGAGAGACAGAGGGAAGCTCCACTTAATGTTCAACATTTGGTTGAAGGAAAACGTGGCGAGTGGTTGAGTGACGTGTATTTCCTCAAAATAGCGAGAGGTAGAGAAAAATTTGTAAAGTTCATGGAGAGTATATATTAAGCTAACGATCAGACGATAAAATGATTTAATCTATGTTGTGGACCGAGTTGTCTACTATACTAAGTATGACGTAGTGACTATATATGGCCGGTCTCCGGTCGACAAAATCCTAGATTGATGATGTCAAGGAGTTATTAGCAGTTGAAGGCATTGTATGGAATACGAAAAAAAATCCAATTTCTACCTTTTTCAAAACTGATTTTTGTAAAATTTCTATATGATTCATATGGAACTCCTGTCCTAAAGAGGTGTAAATTCTTCACATGATTTCATATGCGGCAACAACGAGAGCACCCCAACAGAATTTTGTGTGCATACCGGAAGTCAAACTGAAGCAATTATACATTTATATGCTTATGAATTCAAGCTAAAATATTTTACGACAATATCCAATATGTCTTTATTTGTTAAGGATATACAATATGTTATTCGTTAAGGATGTACAATATGTTTGACCGAGCCGAAGATTTGTCATAGAACCACATTGTGAGATCATGGTAAAAGGATCTCAGCGGTCAACAGGACATCACCCTTTAGGAGCTCTAAGAGCGAGAATAATAATAAAGAGCTATAAACAGTCTTTACACTAAGGTGGCAAAAAGAGAAGAGAAACATACTTAAGTTTAATGTGAATGGGCTCTAAAAAACTTATGTATCAATAATGAAATAAGTCCTAGTAGTAGCCAAGTGCTAAATAGATAGGCTAACAAATGAGCTATAATTTACATACAGCCAGTAGTTAACTGTATCATTATTAGCTGTACTCTAACACAACCAGTCCGTCCTGCATTCTTGCTCACCTGGAGGCAAGGAAACAGTAAAAAAACACATATATAGTCTAAGTAGCCTTTGCATATGCGTTTACAACTTGGCAATGCCCGTGGTGGGGCGTCGGATCCTGGATCCTGGTCCTGGCAACCGTTCCATACGCCCACATGATGTGCCTGCTCTCCGTGGACAGGCTGCACCTTACATCCAGCAGGACGTCCCGACAGGCGTACCCCAGTGCTACGCATATACTCCTCCCTCCAAATTCCAAAACAGGGGGCGGTGTGGAGCGTGGACATGGACTGGTGGTAGTAGCTACACCGATCAAACTGCCTAGCTAGTACATACTCCTGATTTTCTCGTTTCTTGTGGATTGATGACGAGGCAGCAAAATATTTTATGGAAACCGCTTAATAGGCTGCGATTTGCGTCCACAGTTTTTCTTTTAGAATACTTGAAGGAATTTCCTAGAAACATAGAGTATTGCTTCAAGAGAAAAAGAAAGTTTTAGGCTAGCCAACGAAGATAAACAAAAGGCATTGACGCCAGAGATGACATTCATTTCCACCGCTCAATTTTTTATATCCCTTGATTGACTTTTTGTTATAGGCTTATAGCTACCAAGGATATTCTTTTTCTAAAGGCTAACAAGGATATTTGTCTTAATAAAAACTTGTGACCCATGTTATTATTATAGCATTCGTTGCAAAACAGTACTAGCCTATTATTATATGGATCGGAGTACTTGCCGTGAGAATATTATTTTGCTCTCATCCAATTTATTTAGTCGCGGAGAATCGTGGTAGATATGCTTTCTTGCGCCCTCCTCTCCAACCATCAGCTCCTCCTCGTTTATTTCCTCCAATCCAAAGGGGGGAAAATGTCCATTCCTCTACGTTATGTTTTTGCACTGTTCCTTTGCTATCGTCTGACCTTTTGCACCTCCGGAAAACCCGCGTATCTTTTCTCTCAATCATCCGCTCTCTTTTTCTTCGTCTGTCGTAAATTCGTAATCTGACTTGTGGGCGCCAGTTTTCCTTGCAACGAATGCGTTTGGTCATCGTCGTCTCGGCGACGTCGAGCACTCGTACAGCTCACACGCGTCGGTGAGCTGATCAGGCCAATCGCAGAAGAGGAAAGAAAGATCGAGCAGAGCGGAGCAGGTCCGTCAACCCAATGAACACGGAATCCTGCTGTTGCCCGTACGAGATTTCTTTCCCTAATTTTCACAAAAAGGGAGCTTGCATCGCATCACTCGTTCACTCACTCGCATGTGGCCCTCTGCATTAGGACGTCAATAACACTTTTTTTCTCTCACAGCAAATTAATATCGGCATCGGCCATTCTTTCAGCCAGCAATAGCAGCCTTGTCCCCTGGTCTTTCTCCGGCGGCCGGTGACCGGCCGGCCACTGCACTGGCGCGGCATTGCAGCGGCTCCCACGCCGTCCTTTGATTCCTCAGTGCCAGCCGACTCGTACAGTCGTACGTAACCAGCTGCCTGCTGCTCGGTTGGTCTGCAGTGACGTTGCGCGCGCTAACTAATTGCATGCCGGCATGCAGCAGATCCATTGGTTGGTCCCAGCCGCTAGCCGTGCCATGATCGATCATCTCCTCCAACCTCAGATTGCATGCTCCCCGGCTGTACCTGTATCCGTTCGTGTCTGGAGGCAGATCAATTCGGGGTAGGTGCATGCTCGCTTGTCTGATTTTAGTTCGGAATCATTAGTACAGTAGTTGTTGTTTGAGAAAGTATTGTCCGAGTCTAGACGTACGATGCCACAGGAGCTCATAAAACGTACCTCTCTGAAAACTTCGTTGTATGGTGAGTTTCATCTGAATGAATTCAAGGTTCTCCTTTTTTTTATGATGACCTGTGTGAGGGCGAGACCGCCGACAAAGCTGTCATCCCGGCCGGCCCTTTGATGGAGGTCGGAGGACTTCACTGTGGCATTGTCCACTCTTTCTGCGAATAGTTACTGGAGTCAAGGGGGGTACGATACAGTACAGGTACCCCCGGTTTTACTTTTAGAGGCCAGTTGTTATGGCGATTTTTAATCGCGGCGCGGTCAAACAGACTGTTCCAGTACGGCGCACGGGATACGGCAGCGGCGACGGAGACGCGACGGCATGCAATCAAAGCAGTGTTTTTAAAAAAAGGTGATGAAGGATGTAGCTCAAGCCGTGCAACATCCGTGCACTGGTGCAGTGCCGCATTGGTGCCTCTACCGACAGTGGTTTCTGTCGGTTAATGTATCTGCCTTCTGCTTTTCTTGTCCAACCAACATACGCTCGCCGTGTAGCCACGTTACGTACCCATCGTGCTCGAGTGTGGTTATGGGCATATCATAAGCCGCTTATGGCTGGCCACGGGCTTTCCTGTGTCAGAGTGACAGGAAGGTCTCACGATTTTTTGGTTGTACTACTTGCAAGAGTGCTCGTATGTACTCTACGTAGAGTAGTGCTACGTCAAACTGTGTCAACTGCATGGACACGGGGTTGCGTGAGAGCAGCACGTTCATTTGTAGTGTAGGTGTAGTCTCTTTTGCCATGTGATCGACCAACGGCGACGAGCACTTGCCTCCGTCGGCTTTGCGCGCTTTGGTGCGTTGCGGCATCGCCTTCGGTCTGTTATCAAGGGGAGTTGGGCCGGGGTTACTTGACGAAGAATCAAGGCATCTCGGCACATCGGAGACCGAACCACCCCTCGGCCCTGCTGATAACTGCCCACCATCTACTCCTAATCCGCAAGCGGCAAGGAGTCTTTCAGCTCCTGCGCATGCGGTGCGGCGTATATATACTCCACCAAGGGAAAGGACAGTATGGCAATTGTCCTCCATACATGAATTTCAGTTCCTGCCAAAATATGAAATCGGCTTTTATCCGGTGAGTGCTATATCACCACTCAGCAAATAAGCTGCCTTTTCACGATATAAACGATTAGTGCCCCCATCGCCTTTATTGTTCGATCTTTTGGTCCATAGCATTGCTGTTGTTGGGATGTTGCGCACCTCAATAAAGATCAACTACTACTACTATTATATTCGCTTTCCAAGGATGAAAAAGACTAATGTAGTAATGTACTGTTCTACTATGTGGTTACAGTTTAGAGCACACACATCACACCGTTTAGAACCGTCTCTGCGTCGCACATCTTGCAAAAAGACCCCTCAGAGGCTAGGAATAGGGCGAGGCCATGCTCCAAGGCCAAATCGACGACGTCCCTCCCATTGTGCTGTGAGTTGTCATTGATGTGGCTTGATACGATGCTTCATGCGTCGAGTCATGGTCAGGCGCGGAAGGAGAAGGCCCGCGACAAGTTCAGAAGTTCCCATCCTTGGAGTAGTACAACCGCCGCTCTCATAGCGAGTCCAACACGTGAGGCATCAATGGCCGCGCAAAGCCGCAAGCTCCATCATCATCATCCCGACGAACAATGGCAGCAAGCTGTACCAGTCCATGCCCATGACCACCGTGGCCATAGCGGAGCCCAAGGTTGTCCTGTAGCTGGTGTTGTCGACCGCGACACCCTGAAATCTGTCGTTGTCGTCCGTGCCCATGGGCCCCGCTGCAAGAACCAATCTTTTCGACTATGCACAATGATGTCATGGACATGCATAGTGGTGGCAATAGCTGCCAACACGCCCGTCGGAGCAGGGGCGGATCCAGCATGGGG